CTTATGGCAGAAATTGAAAGATTAGAAAATATGATAGAGAGGATAAATGATCAGATCTAGTTATCAGAGCTGGTAAGGAAGCAGAGTGGGTAGTAGAGAGCAGGAGGTAGAAGGTGGGCAGGAGGAGCAAAGAGAAGAAACTTTTAAAAGACAAAAGAGTACAAAATTTTCTGTGGAAAAAATAGTTCTGTAATTTTTGCTTTATAAAAATTTTTAAAAAAAATTTAGTAGAACCTATATGAAGTAAGCATTAAATTGGGTTTAGTTATTTTCATTATTATTATTATGCAAGGTTCTTAAATAGTGCCATTCTCCTAATAAATGCTTAGAAAGTGCTAGGCCTCCTTTTGTGATACTACAATTGGTAATAAAAATCTCGCTTCATTACTGAGGATGCCAGGATGTCAAGATTAAATGTCAAGAATTAAAACAGAAACCACTAGATTCTAGAGGTTGCTGGTGATTAGAAATACACATTAGGGTCAGGAAGTCTCTATTCTGCTTTTGTTCACCTCTGCAGCTGATAGGGATTCTAAAGCGGTCTTGAGCAAGTGAGAAAATATATCCATATAAACATCAGACATGTTCTTTTTGTTATATCAGCAACCTGTATGTATGTAAAATGAAAATTATCTATGTGCAATAAGTATTACATGATGTTGAATCTTTTACTGGAGTTTGTTTTGGATACATCTGCATCTCAGGATAGGTTAGAACCAAATCTGAAGTTGTTACGATGCTCAGATGAATTGTCTCAGGGATGATATTTACATAAAAATCCATAAGGACCACAAAATATTTATTTTCAAAATAAATTTTAAATAAATATTAATTAAATTATGTATGCTCTTTACTGTGTGCCCAACAGCAACATATGTCATATAGTTTGTTTGATTATAGAATAGAATAGCATATTTTAGTCTTTATTTGAAAACAGTATCTCTTTTGAGCTTCTGACTGGAAGAAAAGAATTACACAAAATCAGAAAAAGTGGTTCCTCTAATGCAGTATTCTGGGAATCAGAACTATAGTTGTTAAGTTGTCTTCCATGAATCTAAGCTGAGTTATCATACTTGCTTTCTCTATCTCTTCATCTCCATTCTTTCTCCAGCCTTTTCAATCAGTACTAGATCCCTGCCATGAGACAACTCTCATTCACAACACTAATTATCTCTATTTTGCCAAATCCAGTGTCAAATTTCTGTACTCAGGTCACTTAACTTCCCTAAAACCTTTGACAGAACTGATCACTTCTCCTTTGGAAAAACTCAACTATTTTCTCAGGACTTCTGTAACACCATGTTTATTAACTATTTTCTTATTAACTACTACTTCTCAGTCTGATTTCTTTGGCTCCTTCTCCTTTTCCCATGTGCTTTTTCTTTGAGAGATTTTTGCCATAGGGCACTTGTGCTCATTGGAGAGGGTGGAAAGACAGACAGACTTCTAAAGGTTAAAGTGTCCCTGGAGTTTGGCTTTGGGCTCCCTTATTAATTTGCAATCTCTTTCTAAGTGAGCTAAAACAGGTTTATTGCTTCAAATGCCATCTATATTATGATAATGACTCCTAAATTAGCACATCAGGTACTAGCTATCTCTTGAGCTCTAGATTTGTTTAAAATTTGGCACCTTTTGAATGTCTAATAAGCATTTCAAACTTAATATATCTCTCTCCCACCTACCATCTACCTACCCTGCCAAACCTGCTTCCAATAGTCTCAGTAAGTGTTTCTATTCACTATTCATTTGCTCAGAATCTAATGAAATCAAATCCTACTTTTCTTCAATCCATACGTCAAGTCTATGTGTTAGTTTCATCACCTTAGACTAAGACAAAGTCTCTTATTTCCTGGATTATTAAAACAACTTCTTAGCAGGTCTCCCTGCTTCTACATTTTGCCTTCCTTTCTCTGTGGACAGATGTAGCCATTTTAAAGCAGTAGATTGAATTCCTCCTTACCTGCCCCCAAAGCTTCCCACTGCAATTGTAATTGATAACATAAGAAATCATGTAACATAAATAACATAATACATTACAATAAAATATGTCCTTCTTGCTTTGCCCTCTATGTACCTTTCTGAATTCAGTTTCCACCACTCTCACTCATGTTTCCTCACATACAATCATGCCAGTTTCTTTCTGTATCTTGATTCTTTTTTTTTTCTTCTCATTACTACTTCATAGTTATCAGATGTTCTCTCTTCTCGTTAAGTCTTTGAATGACTGGTCTCCTTTCCACATTCATCTTCTCAGGGACACCATTGTATGTGCTGACTACTCCTGCACTACCCTGCAGTCATCCCTTCTCCCATTAGCCTGTTTCACATCATAGCAGTTGTCCAACATCTGCCTTTATGTTTGGGTTTTGTTGACATTTTACTCTCTGCTCCCACACTCCTACAGAGTGTAAGCGCTAACAGGGCTTGTCTTCTCTTGCTAATATCTCCTTTGTCTAGATTACCATACAGTCCATATTAGACACTCAAAAATATTGATTGAATAAATGAATGAATTTCAGAGGTCAGAACTATAGCTCACTACAAACCAGTTCTACTTTTAGGTAGAGAATTGAAGTTACATTTTTTACATAGATGTATTTTTCCAAACATATGAATGCAATTTGTGAAAGATAAATTCAAAATCAGTGGGTTTTATGTTGTTTTAAGGTTTCTGTGGCTCTTTAGTTTCATTATAGGAAGATCTTGTGGATTATGAAGCTTTTGAAAGTATATTTTATTGGTACTTTCTTTTTATATTATTTGTGTTGTAATTTCTAATTTATATGTAATATTGTTTTACTTGTACAGTCAAAAATTCTTTGTTTAGATTAGTAGAGACATGTTGTTATCGGAGGTTATATTAATTTATGAAATTTGCCCCTACTTTGGGAAAACAAAGGAAATAGACTCATTTAAGTTAAAAACTTGCCGATGGGACTAGCAGTTAGCATAATGGCTATGTCACTGGACTCCCATGTAGTCAACTGCGGTTCGAGTTCTGGACCCGATGGCTTAAACTCATGCCGGGTGCGTGCCCACGATCCCAAGAGGAGAATGGAGGAGAAGGGATTGTGGCGTGGCCATCTCCCCTGTGGGGTGATTTCTTGCGTTCAGTCTCTCTGTCTCTCTCTGTCTCTCTGGTGAGTGTACACACCCTGTAGCAAAAGCCTCTCAAAAAAAAAAATAAAACCCAAAAACTTGCCCAATGTTAGGTGTTAAGTATCCAGTCCCAATCTTCTCATCTTAATTCACTGAAGGGAAGCAAACTTTGAGAAGCATTTTTTGTCATTCACTTAAACATTATTTAGTAGATACCTCTATGTCTATATTGGGTGTATAAGGTTACAAACAGGATAAAGTCCATGATTTTAAGATATTTTTGCATTATAATATTATTTTCTATACAAAAGAAAATATATGGAAATAAAGTACACTGTAGTATTTCAGTAGCTGTAAGGTAGCATTTTCTGGAGAACTTCTATCACATTTTAAAGTGATCTTCATTTGTGACAAAATCTTCATGGACCATAGGGGATTAGTGAATGTATTTAGTGTTTCCATCATTGCAGGGAGAAGGTGGAGATTTTAAATGCTAAATCAAAAAGTCAATCTGATACACACATGCACACGCACACACACACACACACACATTTTTCTATTATGATTAACACGTTTATAGTTAATAAGACAGGAAAACTACGGGGGAAAGAGGAGTGTGAATTGAGAATTTGGAAATTTGGACACAAGTGTCGCTTTCTTATTAAGTAGATGTGCCATCTCCAAAAGTATTTGACACTTCAGTTTCCTGATGTCTAGGATAAAGACTCAATATGCTTTAAGGCTCATTCTAGTTGTAAAATATGATAATATTAAACTTGCCTTTATGAGTCGCTTTTCAGGACAATACTGCGATTCATTTCTATTATTCATGAACAGCCAACTATGGAAATTAAGTGTCATTTCTGATCTATTAAAAGTGACTTGGTAGCAGATTTCTTATCAACTAAAAGGGTTAAGCACATTTTAGTGATAGAATTATGAGTATGTAGTGTGGAAGGAAGGGAAGTAGAATTACGATAGACTCAGACTTGTTAAACAGAACTGAAAAAAATGAACGCACACTTCCAGCAATCATCGATTCTTATTGGCAATTGTTAGAACTAAAAATAAAGTGCTTTATGATTACTAGGAAACGGCTAGAGATAGTGCTTGAAACACCTTGTTTTGGTAGGCGGCCATGAAGCCTTGCACAGTGGAATAGCACAGGCCACGAACATCCAGATGATGTTGTCTTGCCTCAGTGCCTCTCTATCATTGTTTTAAAGCCACAAGTCGGATAGATTCCATAATTGGGAATGTTCCTATGACTACTCACCCCAGGGTAATCAGATTCCAAACAGGCATACACCTAATTCTTTGTGTGGTAAATAGCTGGTTAGCTACTGGGATATCTAACTTCTGATTTAAAAACGGAAATGTGTGTTATTTTTTTTTGTTGTGGCAGAATAAATAGAGTAAGTGGGTTAATTTGACATTATTTAGTCACATGTGCTCTAGTAAGGGATTAAAGTGCAAACTCATAATTCTTGGCCCCCAAATATGTTTGATTTCAACTCCTGGAGTGTTTTTTTCTTTTTTGATCAAATTGTTAATAAATGCTTAGATCCGTCAATTAACAGATTGTTTAGCTCTCCCTTACCCTGAGGTCCTTAACTTTCAGAAAGTGAAGACCTGTCAGCTTGCTGTATAAAACAACTCTCTCTGTGTTTTCTCTTACCACAGTCTGTATTTTTAGGATCACCTCTACTCTTTTGTATAAGATCACCCCACTGTTTCATTTATTATAGTTTTAAAAAAATAACTTTGTAATTGTATCATAACCAAATTAGTATAATTACGTTCTTAAAGCATAGTTTGAAATCATATATTTTAATATATAAAATGTCAAACTTGCCTCTTTTAAAAATAATTTCATAAATAAAATCATTCAGGATACTTACATCAACGATTAAGAAATCTAACCAGCACCAGGCATTAGTGAAATATGTTTGAAATCCATAAGCTACCCATTTAAGGAGCATTTCCAGAATGAATATGTAAGTGAAGACCTTGTCAGCATATTCTAGCATGGTTTTGATAGTCTTCCGCTGTTCAATGTATATATCTTCAAAAGCCTGTGAAACAAGAATACTTTATTTTACTTGATGGCTCTCTTCCTCTAAATACTTTTTAAAAAGTATTTCTTATCATATTCAGTACAAAGTAATACTTTGATAAATATTGACTGACATCAGACAAACATCAAACACCAGGCACAATCTAAAGACTAAAACTAACAGAAAAAGTTGTCAGGGAAATGTCAGCAATTTCGTTAATTTAATATGTAATTTCTTCACTACTTTTCACCATAAAGTGTATTTCAATTACTGTTACAAAGGAGTGCTTTTTGTAAAGTAATATGAACTCAGAAAATAACTAGAACTGTGAATGGGGGATAGAAGTGGCCTTTTTACCATAACTTTGTGTAGTTCCCTAAATGATCTGGCTTATTTTGCAAGAATAAGTTGATTATACATGAAAAAAAACAAAATGCATTCTTAGTCCATAATGTTTAATATAATTATTAGGGAAAACGGGAGAGTGACAAGGAGAGTAACATAGTTACAGAATATCTCTGCAAATGGTTCTCTCAGTAAGGGAAACATCTGTCAGATAAACACCAGATGAGAAATTCCATCTGGCTGTTTTATGGTTCTCTGATTTGTTCTGAACTGAATATTGCATAGTTAAAATCTGGGTGATGATCTTTGCTAGTCACAGATATACCTACTTCTCCTTTTCATTCTTAAACTCAAGAGTATGTTTTCAGTATGTTTGGAGACTAAGCTATTGAGTTGTTGGAAAAGTCACAACATTTTTGCATAGAAAAACAGAAAAAAATGTGTTATGACTTTCATACAACCCAATATTTCACTAGACCCTGGTAACTGGCAAGATGCCTTTCACTTACTTACCAAAGCACCACTACTGAGAAGGATCATGAAGACAATAAAAGTCTCAAACCAGTTGTGCTCGACAATGCTATAGCAGGTTTTCCGAAGGTTCCACCAGATCTTTCCTTTGCCTTCTTCCGTACTGACTTGGCAGAATGGAAATTTTTTAATACAGCCTAAAAGGCAACATTTAATATAATAAATTAGAAAAGTGTATTTTACTCTTAAATAGAAAACAAAAATTATTGCTCCCTTCTTGTCTCAGTCTCAGTTCATCATTTTACAGGGAGTTGGATATTGCAGTCTCTTAATTATTTTTAACATGCCTCCTATGAAAGAATAATTCTAAGACATATATACTCAGCCAGCTGCTGCAAATTCAAGGAACTACCTTACTGATCTAAATTTGCTTGTGCAAAATAGGTTTCATTCTTCAACACCAGTCAAGATCTTTTTGCCTCAAGGCTAATGATGGAAATAGGGTCCAGGTACTTCTCTGAGAATCAGAACAAAACTACATGTTCAAGTTGTTTATTCATATTTTGATATGATCGTGGATTTTTACTTTCTTCTTTTCATGCACAGAAAATCCCTGTCTTCTCAGGTATCAGCCGCTGTCAGTTTTCCCAAGCTAATTTATTTTAAGCTTCAGTGCCTTTCTTAGTCATACCTATGACTCATCTTGTCAGTCAGTATCTGTTAGTCCTTTGTACTCCCCCTCCTAACTTCCATATTATTTCTAGCTTCCATCCACTTTTCTGCTTGAACTATGAGCTACTACTTCTCAGATTAAATCCAACAACATTGAATTAATAAATCTGTGTTGATTTGTATAGAAGACCGTGTGCTAGTCACTGTGACAACTATTGCTTTCCCTGCCAAAACTCTATGACACAAGTACATACCATAACAGCTCTGGCTACCGCACAAATTAACCACATTTGAAACTGGAAGGATAAGATGTAATTATGGCATCGAATCACACCGCAGCCAGCAAGTTTTGAAGGGGTGGAAATATCAGTGACATGACTTAAGTTACAGAGCGCTGTTCACCTTAGAAGGCCAGTTTCCTCACATTCTGGAGGACAAAGGCAAGGGGCAAGGACATATCACACCATCTTAACTATCCAGGCACAACCATTGCTATAGTATAATCTAGAAAAATAGTTAAACTAACTTCTTGGGAGAAAAGACGAAAACAAAGATAAACATGACTTCACCATTTCTTTAAAAGATTTCCTTCAAATGAGGTATATTCCATATCTCATTGAGAAATAAGGGCCGATTGTGTTTAATCACATTAGAACTTATTTACCTTCAGTAAAACAAGCTTCCGGTTTAAGGTCTTCTTCGGGTTCAATTTCAGCTTGTTCACCTTCCCGAGGTGGAGCAACATCAACCGTGCTTCCTTCAGATGAGCTGGTTGCATTTAATTTCTGGAAACAAAAACCCATTTCAAAGATGTGATTTTTCTCCCATTTTATTCCACTAATAGAGATTCTCTGTTGCAATGTGAAAAAAAGAAATGTAGTGATAGCCTTTGAGTCTATTAATGTTACCGATGATTATGTACTAATCATTTACACAATTAAAGTGCTACTATTCAAAGCGATGTGACTACTGACTGGTTTAGACAAGAAGTTAGATGGCAGTCAACATGGGTGATGTGGACAAAATGAATTAAGCTTATTTATGAGTCTTATAATCTCCAGTTGTATATGAGTGCTATATGAAAATAATTCAATAGATTAGTACTGAGCCCAAACTAAGAATGGTTTGATAAAAGTTTGGTATACTGACATCTACTAATGATTAGTTAATTAAAATGCATGGAGTCAAATTGCAATTTCCACCTCTTCAGATGGAAATTTTCACAGGGCCAAGAACATTACCAGTTGTTTCAAAGAACTGACCATGTTTCTGTAATTTTAGAAAGGAAGAGCAGCACTTTGACATTAGTCACAGTCATTATATTTCAAATTTGAGGTATATTTTTATCTGGATTATATAACGTTCTTCCTTACTAGCAGAAAAATGATGGATCTCTCATTCCTTTTTTTTTTTTGTTTCTTTTTTTTTTTTTCATTTTTTTAACTGTGTGAATGAATTCAATGCTTGCCAAAAGATTCTAAATGAATGGAAATTTCTCCAGACATGGCATTGTCCAGAATCTGTACAGACGTTCATGAGGGCCAAATTCTGAATTCAGCATATGAGCAGCTGTGAATTTTTCCTTTAAGTAAATCATTGTGACATGCTACATGACTAGCAGAGCCACTTTAATGTTATAAAAATACATATACAATAAGTACTCTGAGGTCACTGGAAGGACATTATAAGTGTGCAATGTTTTATGAAAACTGATGCAAAGACATGACATACAGCACAATCTAGATAATGTAGAGCTTTTAGGATGAAAGAATAATGCATGGACATGGCAATGCTTTCAAAGCCCCCATGAACTTTAGTAGCTAAGGGTTAGGGTCACTCTGTCCTAGCCTTCTGAAAGAAATTATGTGTTATTTAGAAGAAAAGCCTAAATAACTTCTTAAACACAGGTCCTATTAGGGCACCTTTATTTTGAACTTTGGTTCAAAATTTCTCATATATTGAAATGACAATGTAAATGTAGCTTAATGTTTTATCATGTAAATTGATTGAAAAGTAGTGTAAGATACTATTTTCTATGGTGATACTTTGAAGAGAACATTAACCATGTCCAACACAATATATTATAAATATATTACAAAAATGTTTTAAGTCAAAATATAATTCTATAGTATAGTCTGGAGTATGCTAAAGAGACAAGCTAGGCCATCAGTTTGGGTTGATGGTTCTTGGAAGTTCTATTTTTCTTTTTCTTCTTGGCTAATTCATGTTCAGTGATTTCTTCTGAGCTAGGTCATGGTAGGCCTCCTCCATGAAGTTTTTCTTTCTTGCATAATTGCTAAATTTTATAGAACATTTAATCCATTTTACTCATTTGCTTTGACCACATATTCCCATATATACACATATACATATATAATATATATATACACATACACGTACACATATACATACACATATATACCAAGTGCACATATACACACATATATACCAAAAAAATCCACTAATTGCCAAATATAAAATAGACATTAAATAGTTATGTTGGGTTTATGGAGAGTGAATAAATGAATAATGGAATGCATTCTTTTTTCAATTTGCCAGAGGGTGCCTATGCTTCCTGGAGAGAGAGAGGCGGAGGGGGAGGAGAGATGAGAAAGCACTCCCCAAAGGGCATGATCATGCCACACTCTCTTCTCCTTCATCTCTCCCTCCTTTGGGGATTTTGGGGACACACACACACACACACACACACACACACACACTCACACCCAGCATGAGTTTCAAGCCCTCAGGTCTGGGACTCAAACCATGGTCGGCCATGTGGGAGCTCAGCGACATAACTATTACACCATCTGCTGGTCCTCAAAAGTTCTTTATTTTAGAAGTGATAATGATAGCTGATGAGATGTCCACAATATCAAATAAAAGGTTGATAACCAGGACTAGCAGTTGGCATAATGGGTATGTAGCTGGACTCCCATGTAGTCAACTGTGGTTCAAGTCCCAGACCTGGTGGCTTAAACTCATGCTGGGCACGTGTGTGTGTGTGCCCCAGATCCCGAGAGGAGAATGGAGGAGAAGGGATTGCAGCATGGCCATCCCCCCTGGGGGGTGATTTCTTGCTTTCTGTCCTCTGTCTTCTCTCTCTGTCTTTCTGGCAAGTGCATGCGCTCTATAGCAAAAACCTCTAAAAAAAAAAAGAGCCACACTCTCTTCTCCTTCATCTCTCCCTCCTTTGGGGATTTTTTGGGGACACACACACACACACACACACACACACACACACTCACACCCAGCATGTTTTACAAGCCTCTTCGTCCAGGATTCAGTCCAAATGGTTGGCTATGTACAATCCAGCCTTCTCAACCACCAGGCAACAAACTGGCTTTGAGTGCATTTTTATATTACTCTTACAGAAATAATTACAGTGTCAGCCTTATCTCTCCATTTTGATACATAAGTTGATTATAGTCTTGACAGAATTTGTCTGGAAAATCATCTTATTAAATAAAAGTTATTTAATTAATATGATCTTAATATGAGAACATACAGTTCCAGAATGTTTCTTTAAAATATTGTCAGACATTCAATAAAAAAATAAGAAGGAAGGAATAAGTATATATGTGTATACACACATACATATATACTTTACCATTCGAAAATTTAGAAAATATACTCACCCTTCACTTCCCATTTTACCACTGTTAATGTAATTGCAAGATTTTTAATTTTTCATATTATGATTGTTTGTCATATATCCCATAAATGTCTTATATATACATACAAATGCTTATTTAAAACAACCTTTCCCAGCATAAGTAGCAACAGTCTCTAACTTGAACAATCATTGAATCAATTGCTTGCCAAATATTGACCTCTAGATATATTTTTGTTATTGGTATAGTCTTTAGAAACATTTGTGGATATAGTTATCATATTTGGATATAAACAATCTCAGTATTCTACATAGCTCTGGAAGTGATGCATTCATACATCCTAACGTAGAGAGTCAATTAACAATAGTTCCCCTCTATCTGCCTGGAGTTGTGAGGCCCAGCATATCACTTGAAAACAGACAAGGAAAAATCCCTGTCCCCATTCTGCCGTTCTCCAAGGAACCAAATCTATTTTCATGGGAAATTGCTTCAAGTTATCCAGGAGTTTTTCTCATTATAAAGATAAGCTTTTTAAACTTAGGCTCTGAAAAACTCCCCAAGGAATGTTCCGAGGGAGACTTGCAGGCAAGTTTGCAAGCCCCTGTGATCCTCGTGAGCCAAACGTAGAAGAGGACAGGCTGGTATTCTTTCACTAAGTGTTTTACCACAGGCTTCCTTCATTTCTAATGAAAACTGACCTTGTCAACTCACCCCAACTGGAAAATCAGGCTTAGTCATATTTTAATCTTCTTAGTCAGTAATGGCACTACATTATTTTTCAGCCCCGTGAGCCACATTTTTATCATAGTAAAGTACGTTGACATGTATTTCATAAAGTAAATGAAAATATTAGACCAACCATAGTCTCAAAAGTAGTGAATTTGCCTGTGTTTATAAATCACTATTTGAATTTATAACTACATCAGTTTTAATTTATAAACTACATGAACTTACCAGTAACAATATACCATCTGATAAGCTTTAGTCACTAGATACATAACAGAAGTTCACTGCTGTCTTTCTAAATTACTAATTAATACTCTGGGAAGCTATGTACACATTTTAAATTCTATACATTGATATAGTACTAATCTATACCAGTTTTATACATTGACATTATCATAATAATCTAAACATTTTCTAGTTAAGGTTCAGCAATGACATCCATACAGTAGCAGAGGGTAGACTGTGGTACGTCTTTGCATAGCAACACCAAAATGAACACCAAATTTACTTAAAAGCATGTAACTGGTGTAAAAGCAAGTGACTGGTGATAAATATAAAGAATAACTTACTTTCCTTACATTGCCATAGCTGTAATACTACAAACGATATCAAAAAAAAGCAAAGAAACCTGAAATGAAATTTACCATATTAAAGATCTCGGCTATACTAAACAACTGAAATTAATAATTGTTCTGAAGTAGTTAGAAAAATATAAATGGGGATACAAGCATAATGATAGAAAACGTCCATATAAAGCCACATAGTACAAGTTCAAACTTGTTTTCTTGTACTATTTTCTTCCTACCCCTCCAATATTTCATGGCATTTAAAGATTCGATTCTTCCATCCCTTGTAGAAAATACAGAGTCTACAGAGGGATGATGGCTTACACTCTACAAATGCACACTGGAAAGCAGGTTTTAAGATGCAACATTCTCCAGGCCTAATTCAGCCGCAGAAAACATGCCTGGCTGTAGCAGAAGCCTGGCGCAATGCTGTGGAAGCTGCACGCTGATCCAAGAACCATGTTTTCAGAGACATGGTACCTGAATATGAAGCTTTCAAGGTTAACCACAAATACCACTTAGAGGAATGGGTTATTTAAACATGAATGACAGAATTAGCACCCCAAAAGGCCATGAGACCATTTCCCACCGTCCCCTAGGAACATGACCTTGTATAGAAATTCCCCCTTATGACAAATATTGCTCTTGATTTTTATCCAATTAAGTTATGAAATTTAACTTTCAGAGATAGAAGAGAATGTTAGCAACTGGCCTACTTCCACTGAAATGCGCTCACATTTCATTTATTTTTCAATCAGCTATCAAATGTTGGACTCTCACAAACTGCTGTATGATTCAAGAGGCAAAACAAAAGATTCAGCCATTACAGATTGCCTTTAAAATCTAGCCATTTCTCTCAAAAAAAATCTGGATTTTTGT